TCATCAACGTCTGGCTTTCTCGGAAACAGGGGGACACGGACTTCTTCCTGACCCGGCTATTGACGGGACATGGGTAGTTCAATGCCTATCTTTTCAAGATGGGTTTGCACAGCACACCGACGTGCAAATATTGCCCAGACAAAATTGACAACGCCGAGCACACGTTTTTCGAGTGTGATCGGTCGAAGGACGACAGAAGCAGCACTGAAGAAACAATAGGCAACACGCTCTCCCCTGAGAGCTTGGTAACCTGCATGATCAAAAAGGTAGAAAACTGGTCAGCTGTCGCAGCCTACGCGCAGCGTCTTTTAAAAGAAAAAATTGCAGAAAGGGATTAGAAACCAGTAGTCACAAGAAGTAGGCGTCGTGAGACGCAACATGGACTGGATTGAAGTAAAGCTAACGCGGTTCCGTTCCAGTCATCTCCGTACCATCCACGGGGGAAGAGAGAGGTGTTTTTTTCTAGTGGGTAAAGATCCCACACTACCGACCATCATCTTTCAATGATAGCGGTGTCTTTCGAAGATTTTTTCCGCTTCTCTATAAAGAAAAAAGAAAAAAACAACACACACACACACACACACACACACATACACACACACACACATACATACAGGTATACAAACACCACCGCGGGAATAGTCAGGGAAGCTTCCTAGGACCTCGAAACGTCGAGATTCGATGAAAACTCGATTTTCGTAAAACGGGCTAAAAACAATAACTTCTCGATTTTTGAAAATCTTCGGTTTTCTTAGCGGGAAGTTAAAAAAGCAAGTAACAAGAAGGTAGGAAACAATATTTTGTATTCGCCGGCATACAATAAAGAAAGTTGAAAGTGCATTCGACCGGACCAACCTAGGGGTACGACTTTCGACCCACTGAATCGGAATTCGAGGTTAGTTTGACCTATATACCCTCAAAATATCGAGAAAACTCTACAAAACCCAAAAATTGGCAGCTTTAGTGATATAGAAAATTTTATTGAACTAAACCAAGTATGATTTTCATATTTTTCGATCAGCTGAATACTAATACAAAGTCTATTTAGACCATAAACCGTTTTAAATGTAAGAAAACTGCACAAAATTCTTGAAAATTTGCGGAAAAATGCAGTTTTTGTGATAAAAAAAAATTTGTTGCTTCAATTCAAGTACTAGTACAATTTCTATGTATTTTGATATCTTGAAATCGAATCTTAATTTTTTTAGCTCGTTAGCTCTTTAAAATTCAAAAAATTGTGACTGTAAGTAGATTTTTGTTTTACTACTAGGCAAGTAATCTTAACTCTTGAAACTTTCGTCTTTGGACTCATCTTCAACTTGCATTTTTTGTTTTCCCACTCTTGCTTGTGACCTTCAAAGACTTGATTGCTCGTGTCTGTAACCAGGGCACCTCCACGTGGTGACGGTGGGCAATATAACCATTTGACAGAGTCCCTGGGTTAACGGTGTGTGTGTCGTCATGGCAGGTACAAGGGATAAGTACGTTACGATGCAGGGATTTGGAGTCCCAGTATCGAAGCCTGGTCAGAATGAGAAAGCAGGCTCGCAGGTGTCGTCATCAAGCGACTGCAGCTCTTCAGTAGTGGGAAACTTTGCTACTGGAGGGTATACTATTACAAGAAGTAATTCTCATCTGTGTAATAAAAGTCCCGATTTGTTTTGTTATATTTGTGGAGTTCCATTTGGAAAGGAATTGAAGATCGTTTTCTGATAAGATATTAAACATTTATAAAGAATGTTTTGGTATCCAAATTACTAATTTGGATTCGCTATGGGTTCCACATACGACTTGTAGTTGATAATACTTAATGTTAACCTAGTGGGAAAAAAACAAGAAGCAGGGAATCTTGAAATTCACAATACTAATGATATGGTCTTCACCAACAAATTCACAAAATTGTTATTTTTGTGAGACTGATACTCAAGGTTTTACTACAAATACAAGGCACAAAATTATACACGCCAATGTTTCGTCGGCTGTTAAGCCACAGAAAACAGAGGTTGCCAGAGAAATTGAGACTGTTGAAGAAATGAATGTGGAAGGAGACGATACGCTAGTTGATGAAGGTTCGGAAGAAGAATATTCCGAGGATGAAGACTACTTACGAGGTGGGAAAACAAAAGACCCTAAAACATTTAGCAGAGAAGAACTTAATGATCTAGTACAAGACTTAGCTTTACCTAAAGATGGTGTAACAGTGCATTTTGATATACTCGTGCTCGAGCAGAAGCCTTGCGTACCGGCCTTCGTCAGTTTCATTTTCAGGCACTAGGCGGCGCGGTCGCTTGTCTTAATTCTTGGAGTGGGGAGCTTAGGGCCTAGCTCTAGTCAGTCGATCTTTTAGCGTACAACCCTAAGGATCTCCAAAGAAGCCAAGGGGCTAATTATTATCCAGACGGAGCGAGTTGTATTAGCGAAGACGAGGTCGGCTCAGTTAGTGATAATTTAGTTTAATTAATTTTTGGTCTACGAGCTAACTGGTTAGCATTCTAGAAGTTGTTTAGTTGTGTGTTAATCAGGCTATGGCGAAGACCAGACCATTAATTAATTTATTCTATATCTGGGGATTGTTCACGGAGAGGCTACCCACTGAGGACGATTAAATTTCACGGAATCACGACGTAAGCTGGTTAATCATCGTTGTTACTATTTGGGTTTTGATTGTTATTAAATTGGTGAAATCATTTTATTAATTAAAATAAAGTCTTCGCGTAGATTCAAAGGAGGAACAGATCCGAGGGATTCCTTGCGAGCCTTCTCCTTTATTCAATTTGATTTAATAGTTCATTGTCGAGTCATTGGAAATAAATTTGTTTGTTTCATTGTGATTGTGCTGTGCCAATAATTTCAACAACCGAGCCTCTTTCCTCTCACTTAGTAATAATTAGTTAATTAATTATATTCTGTGACCGGATACAGTTTTTGGATTACCCACTCCCTGAGTGTGAGCTGGCCTAAGTAACTCGGGTTCAGGAGGCCGAGTGAATTCAATATCGACAAATTCTCCTGATGGCGTCCAGAAAATCTCTGGCTCGAACAGGATACCTTGGTTAGGGGGTCACGTAACCTGCTAAGGTATCACTGTTTTAATGGAGCTGAATTACTAGCATCAAAACTAAAAGTAAAACATTTATTGGTTCAAGATGTATCAGTTTCATTCTATCGAAATAGGGAGAAAAGTTCCGGGAATTTTTCACGAACAACGATCAAAATTCGTCGGTATACTGTTCAGATGTTAAAGCTTTGGTTGATGAATTCAAACCGAACACGTATAGGGACGATGAGTAGAGACTTTTTATTGATTCATCTCAACGAAGTCTTAAAGCTATTTTGCTTCATGATGGAAATACGTATGCGTCAATTCCAATAGCTCATTCGATAAAACTGAAAGAAACTTATGAAAATTTACAGATTGTATTGGATAAAATAAAATATTCAGAGCATAACTGGAAAATTTGTGGAGATCTTAAAATCGCAACACTTCTCTTAGGTCAGCAATCAGGATTCACAAAATATCCTTGCTATTTGTTTGTGGGATAGCAGAGACAGGAAAAGCCACTATGTCAATATAAAAGAATGGCCAGCAAGAGCAACATTGAATCCAGGTTCCCATGTTATACGACCACCATTGATTCAGCCTTGCAAATATTTGCTACCACCACTACATATCAAGATGGGTCTCATAAAACAATACGTGAAAGCTCTGATCAAAGATGGTGATTGTTTTAAGTATTTGAGTGAAAAGTTTCCTGCAATAAGTGATGTGAAATTGAAAGAGGGAATTTTTGATGGACCCCAAATTCGAACTTTGTTTCAGGATACAAATTTTGAAGGGACAATGAATGACACAGAAAAAGTGGCTTAGGTAAGTTTCAAAAATATTTCACTAAACTTTTCGGGAAACAACAAACGTGAGGATTACAGCACGTTAGTTGACGAATTGCTGCATAACTACAAAAATTTGGGATGTTTAATGAATCTTAAATTGCACTTTTTAGATTCCCATCTTAACCACCCCTAACAATTGTGGAGATTACAGTGAAGAACAGGGAGAACGATTTCACTAAGACATAAGTGAAATGGAGTGTAGGTACCAAGGAAATTGGAATGTTAACATGATGGCAGATTTTTGCTGAATATTGAAAAGGGAAGTACCCGAAAAAAATCGGAAACGAAATCAAATTCCATCCATGAAAATGCACCCAAGTCATTAACAATCGTGTTTAATAGATTTTTTCTCGTATTCATAACTGCAATTTTTCCAATTTTTTTGAGATTTTTTAAAAATTTTAAAACATTAATGAAACAAAAAACTTTAGTTCAAGATTCAGTGCAACAAAGCACATAAAAATCATACTCAATCTGAAAAATCCAAAAAATTTTTTTTCTCAAAAATTTCGGTTTTTCATGATTTTTTTTTGTTTTTCGCAATTTTTTCAAATTTTGACGGCTCAACGGGCTAATTAAGGTTCAGATTCAGGTTCAATGGATTAAATTGCATAAAAATCATACTTGATCCGGGTCCACAAAAATTTTATCATCGCTGTGATTGCAGTTTTTTGCTATTTTTGGGGGTTTTTTGCCTTTACGATACGACTCCCTGCCTTTATTAATCTCGCGATATTTCTCATGCCAAAAATTTCTCAGCTATAATTCCTCATGATAAAAATTTCTCATACCAATAATTTCTCAACCCTAAAATTTCTCATATCAATATTTTCTCAAACACTATTAATTTAACATGATATGAAAGTATGTTTATTCGACATTAGACCAACACAAATGCGGGTAATCGTGTTGCGCCCTTTTAACATGGTTTTTGTGTGTGTTTATTCGACATTAGACCAACACAACCAAAGCATTAGCATTATAGCATTAAATTAAACATAAGATAAATTACCACATAATAAATTTTGACCGTGAAAAATTTTACTAGATAAATTATGTCATGAGAAATTATTGCTTGAGAAAAAAGGGATGGTCGCTCAAAAGAAAATATGACAGAATTTGTCATAAACCATCAAATTGATATAGCATTGATTTCCGAAACAAAGCTACACTCTAAACATAGACTGAGTTTCAATGATCACAGATTGATCGGAACTAACATACCCAATGCCAAAAATGGAGGAGGCACTGCTATATTAATAAACAAAAAATTTGATTTTACTCCAATAACATATCCAAACTCATTAACCAACAAAGTAATAGAATACACCGCCATCAAGCTCAATGTTAAAAATAAGAAAACCTTTCTCATATTCAGCATTTACGCTGCATGTAATAATAAAAGGACACTCATCACAGAACTGGACAAGATATACAAGGACTTCCAACTGGATAGACCCAATACCTACTTCATCGTGGCAGGAAATTGGAATGCTAGACACTGAAACGTTGTGGATTTAGATTTAGTTTAATTAAATTAAATATTAAATAATTTAATAATTAAACTAGCAAATTAATGAATTAGACTCTAACCCTCTAGGGTTCGTTTCAAGTAGTGAGTTCTGCCGGCTACAGAGACTCGGGTTAATAATTAGGTCTAATAATAAACACCTCGAACTAATGCCTCACAATTAACTAAATTACCAACACCAATACTTAGTATTCGACTTAGTTGGAGTTCGAGAGATGGTCAGCTTCCTGGTATGAACTGGAATATGGCTCTGCTACACGTTGTAGTGAAATCAACCTCAACCTCAGCCTAGAATTGGATGATGTGGACGAAGAACAATATAATAAACTGGATCTTCGTTAAATAAATGATTTATTCAGTAATAATGAATAATATATCACCACTTGTTGTTCAACTTAGCAAACATTCACTCTTCAACACGTAGTAAATCAGTATAATTTAAACTAAACTAAATTAACTGATGTAAATTTAATTATACTGGTCAGATTATCAGTTAAGTAAAAAATAGGATTATTTATCACAAAGTAATCAAAACAGGATTATTTATCACAAAATAATCAAAACAGAATCAAACTATTTATTAGCAAAATAGGAAAAAGACTACTTTTCTGCCTGCTCAATTTACTGGTTATCCATTCGAAAGGAGTTAGAGATACTCGTAATTCAATTAGCAACGAAAGTGCAATAGTACGAAAGACTAATAATTGTTAATTACAATGGCAAACTCTGGTAAATGTGAGCAAAAGCTGTAACGTTACATTTTATGTAGCGTTACAGTAGTGGTGTATTTGTGTGATATCGTGAGTTTTTGGTGTATAAAGTACGGTAATGTCGTAGTATCAAGAACTATCGAGAGAGTGTGCTTGTGAGAGAGTTGTCTCGAGGATGTCGAGCTGCACTGCGGAAAAGTGACCGATGTAACGTGTCTCCCGGTCAGTTACCGATGACTGAACTTAGGTTCAGCCTCTTGGAGCGAGGTGATTATCGCGGAGGAGCGACTGAAATGTCGTCGCCCCAGAGTACGGAAGTTTGACAGGCTCATGCGGTAGCTTGTGGTTGACAGGCCTCGATTGCTGGAGGCTCGAGGGTAGTCGCGAGTACTGTCAAGGCTCCCAGGGGAGCGTAATCACTGGTAGGTCTGGGACACTAGTTGTGTGAGTGGGGATGAGTTTGAAGTTTGTATGTCTGGGGGTAGCGTGAAAGTGAGTTGAGCGTATGTAGCTGGTAGCATGGATGTAGAGGGGGTACGGAGAGGGACAGTTTGGCTGGAGTAGTGAAACAGTTAGGATTGTTTTGTGTGGAAATCTGGATTTATAGGAGAGTCTTGTGGAGGTCCTCGTAGAGGACGGACGTGCCATCGCTGCTAGGCAGCGTTAGTTATGTACCGTAAAAAGAGTCAGTTACGAGCTCTCGTAGAGTGAGCATCGCGTTAGAGAGTTAAGTTAGTCTCTCGTATCGGAGCTGGCGTGCCTCACGCTTGCTATTACCGGAGATGAATGGCCCAAGCCATTGTCTTTGTTTCGTGTTCGTTTGGAACTGCTTCCGCGATATTTTTAATATCGATTTATTTTATTTTACCGATTAATAAGGTTGAGTGTTAGTTTGAGAGTACCGACTAGTGTACTAGATATCGTTTAGTCCCGTTTTGTGAGGAAATTACTTCCTCTGAAAGACCGAATCACGACCCTCTCTCCATAACCTGCATAACTGAGCGACACCGAGGTATTCCGTTACCGTCGAGGCTGCTCTTGGTCTTCTGGGAACATAAAAATTAAGTTATCGTATCCCGGTTGCCGATACCGGTGAAACAAAAGTCGGCTGGCGCCTGTCGGGGTTCCTGGAGGATCGAGAGGTGGCTGAGATGGACGAAGTGTAACGTAGTGAATTATCGTTTGCCGTGAAGATCTACCGCGTGACAAAGAGTTACGTTACAAAGCACAAAAGGCTTCTGGCAGTAATAGGCGACAAGAGGCCTATGGCTTAGAATAAGAATCTAAAAGAGCACCAACAGCATGGTTGCACACGCTTATATAGCCTCAGCGGCCATGCTGTTGTACTATTCGAATACGCCCGAGGCTACCCGAGCTTAGACGATGACCAACATCGTAACAACACACAAACTGGGGAGATAGTAAAACTAATAATCACGGTATCTTACTAAACCGATGGGAAGAGAAAAACAATATAACTCACAAAACTACACTACATAATCCTAAAAGACCTACATATCCCAGCGCTGGTTCATACCTCGATCATTGCTTGGCAGACACCCGGATTCAACTTAAAGATCTACGTCCTAATAGGAAACTCGTCAATTAGCTTTTCAATAGATTGCAATGATATTTTTATGGGCTGCATTTCACCACCACCACCTACTATAAGATTTAATTATAAAAAAACTAACTGGAGGAAATTTGGCGAAAAACTCCTGGACATTCACCAAGATTTTTTACCTGCGGACAGAAATCTCACAATAAATGAAATCAACCACGATATCTTAAAACTGAAAGGCGAAATTACGGACACCATTAACACAATTGTCCCTAAAATGGAAAACGATGGCAGGAAAGGATGTCTGAAGTATGTAAATAATAAAATTAAGAAGTTACAGAAATTTAAATCAAATCTGATTGCTGATAAATTTAAACAGACAGACCTAGATGAACAGGCCCGTATCAAACAACTAATTAAAGTGGTCAATAAAAAACTGACAACGGAATTCCAAAAATCGGAAACAGCATACTGGGTTGCCAAAGCAAAAAGCATAAACTACAAAGAAAATTCAAAATTTTTCGGAAGAATTAATAGATATTACAAATACAAGGAACCACCAAGGATTGTAAAACTTGCTCATACCCAAAAATAGCTCGCTACTCTCTAATGAAATCATAATGGATACCCAAACCATCGAAAAAGACAGAAAGTATTTCATCTCACAACCAAGAGCCAATTTAAATATCGTTGGAAAATATTTTGAATCAATAAACTCGCCCAGGTACTCCAACCTTGGAACGACAACAAAGATACTGGGAGACTCAGCGGCTGAAGACGTCAAAAACAGAATAAGCTACAGAAGACAACACAACCTTACACACACAACTTTTAACATTAATAATCCAGCACATTACTCTGTACAGAACTAAGAAGAGTCTAAATTTTTACACTCATTTATTGAAGTTGAGCTTCTCCTCAAGAAGGCAAAAAACAAAACATCTAGTGGGATAGACAACATCCCAATGGCAGTTCTTAAACATTTTCCTACAGCTATTATTAAAGAGTATACAATTATTTTTAATAATTGTTCGAACCACTCTTACTATCCCACTAGATGGAAGACAGCCAAAGTCATCCCGATCATCAAGAAAGGAAAAGACACCTTGAACCCAGCCAGTTACCGTCCAATCCCTTACAATGAATATCAGCAAAATATTAAAAATACAGTTAATCAAAGACAGAAGACAACAAAATAATGCCGGATAATCAATTTGGATTTAGAGCCAGACATTCGACAACACATGTCATACACAAATTTTTATCGGACATCAATAGACACCTACTCAATGGTAAGGGAACGTACCTATACTACGTGACCTATTTTTTAAGTTTTTTCGACCCCTCCCTCCCCTCGGTGACCACTCGTAGTATATGCCACGACCCCCTTTTGCCCCTTTAGTTTTCACGTAGTAATTCATAATTATGATTTTTAATCATGAAGAAGGCATCAAAGTAGAAGGTTTTGATGTCGAGACTATTGTAGATACAGATGAAAAAGGCATTAAAGCAGAAGATTGGTCAACGGAATATTCATTGTTACTGGAGGCTAGAAAAAGAAGTATTAACTCGTATTATATTAGTAACTATGAAATGGAGAAATTAAAAAGAGCTACGTTAAAGTTGTTAGTATGTATGTTACAGTTAAAATTCATTTTAGCTGTTACATACATATTTTAAAGGTGGTTTGGCCTACAAGAGTTGACAAAAAAAATCATTGGCACTGGTAGAGCAAAAAGTAGATGATTATACCTTTCCAAGTGATAGAAAGAGACTCTCTCGCGACATTATCACCTTCAATGTTGGGAAGCACTTCGAGATTATCTTGCGAGGGTGGAGCTTTTTGTACAGGTAGCTACATTAATCAAATACAAAAAAAGAAGCAGGCATACCAATTTTCACACATGCGAGAGTAGAAACAAATTTATTAGTCTGTTATGGTGCCAAAACATTAATGACATGAAAATAAGGTATTTATTCTTACAATAGAAATAAATATTTCATTATAAAAATATACCATCAAACCCATGCAACAAATAGAATATTAACAAGCGGTTTTTATAAGTCAGTACAGGCCAGAAAAAAAAATCAGGTGAAACAATATAAAGACCGTAATACCCTTTGTTCATGTCGGATTAATGCTGGAAGTCACATAGGTTATAATTTCCAATCAACTTTTAAAAACATGCAAAAAAATGAACTGTTTGAAGCATTTGACAAAATACACTCAGAATACCCACCTTAAGGAAATAATTGAGAAGACGAGCATTTTTTTTAGTTCCAATCTGACAGAGTTCTTCGACTTTTAACAAAGTAAGGCGCTCTAGCTCTTTTCGATTTTTTTTGTGTTCATCTCTTAACGGTACCCAAAATTCGTTTGTTTTCTTTTGGATTGCTTGCATTGAAACACTAAATTTTGTTTATCTTAAAAATTTAATTATTTATCCCATCAAACCTCGCGGGGGAGAGAATAATCCAATAAACTTATTAATTTTATATAGGCCCACTACCCGGGAATATCCCGCTTCCCAGATGGATGTTGTCTTGTAATTTTATTAAATTAGATTTTACTTAGAGGTCTGAGAGAAATTCCCTCGTTTGCCAGTTAAATTGTTCTACTTACTTACAATATTCTGCGTCCTTGATAGACCCTTTTGGTTGAATATAGACGGTCGTAGTGAATAGATAGGTGAATGGTAGTAGTTTAGTAATGGTATGTAGCAGAGATAACAATAAACTTAACTTTATTACACAAAATAAGCACTTTTAATATAAACTTGTGGTATTTCGGTAACGTAACTTAACAAAATAGAATAATTGTAACAATAGAATGAATGTTATTTAATATTAGAAATATAATATCAAATTAGTGGTAAATTATGGTGAATAATCATCTAATAGTAGTAATAAAGAATATTAAATTAATTAGTAGTAAGTTTTATAAATTTTAGTATGTTTTGGTGAGTAATCACCTAATAGTGGTAATAGTAGTATAGTAGTAAAATGACTAAGAAATACCTAGCGTGGTGGTTAACACCGGGGGATAGATCGAAGTGTCGATCAATGCTCATGTTCTGTGGTTCGTAACCGTTTTTCCCCTCCTCTTGTCGTCTTGTGACGTCACGGGAGCTACACATTATTTTAGCTAGTGTCAGTAACGAAAATTTCGGACGGTAGTTCGCCAGGCTGATAAAGTCGGGACATTTGCAGTGTCTCAGCATTGACAAGGAATCCTTATAACATTTAATAAAAGCTTTGTACAGCCGATCATACAACGACATTTTTATGCCAGTACGAACTCTTGTCGACTTATATTCAAATATAGGTTGAAAAAATACGAGATTTCTCTCAGTAAAATCGACTACGTGACAAAAACCTGAACCACCCCCCACTCCTGTGACTGACCGTAGTATTTTAAAGACTCCGCTCCCCCCCCCCCCCCTAAACGGGTCACGTAGTATGGGTACGTTCCCTAAACTGGTTTGAGCTGCACTCATCGATTTGGAAAAAGCCTTCGATTCGGTTTGGCTCAACGGATTAATATACATTCTCGTCACATTAAATTTTCCTCTCTCCTTGATCACAATAATCTGTGACATGATTCACGGAAAAACATTTATTGCATGTCAAACTTAATTCAACTCAATACAGGAAATAACACTCACTCAGGAGCGTATGCTGATGACACGGTAGTATATGGTGCTCATAATAAAATCCCAGTAATTGAACAAAAATTAATAATAATAGTGAACCAATTATATCATTACTTGAAAGAATGGAACCTTAAGATGAATGCTGATAAAAGTGAAACAATACTCTTTAAAAAAATGGTAAACGAAATAACACCTCAGACTGTTCTATTAATTAAAACTTTTCAAATACATATTACAGATAAAGATTTAGGAATAGTGACCAAAATCCCTAACAAAAAGACAGTTAGATATCTCAGGGTAAGCTTTGATTACCTTTTTAGAATGAATATCCATCATGCATAAGTCATAAGTACAGTTTTAAGCACCCAAGAATGGAATTAGCGGGAAGTTGCAGAGATGGCCTTTAGGGAAAACCGTTTTTCTAATTTTTTTATTAATATTTTCATAATTAATTAACTTTTTGAAGAAATCTAAGAATTGAACTGGAGCACTCATCGGACAAGGAGCTTTAAACCACGCTTTTACACAAATAATACTTGTATACCCCCCCCCTCCCTACTTATCTCGTTTCAAAGTAATTTATTTCCTTAAATATAAAAATTTCTAACAATAAATGCCTAAAATCGCTAATTTTGATTTTTTGCTCAATTTTTATGACCAGTAAATATATGAATTTTTTACTTTAAAAAATGGAATCAGGTATGATTTTTTAGGAAATTTAATGCCCTTCAAGAATCCGTCATCAAAAAATTTTTATCTCAAGCGGTTTAAAAGTTATACTATTTTTAACAAAAAAAGATTTTTTTACGTGTTATTTAAATGGGAAACTTTGAATGCTCACTGACACCTTTAGAAATTGAGCTAAAAATCCTGCCTTGCAGGGAAATTTTTTTTTCGACATATAAGTTCATTTTAACCCATAAATTCGATAGGTTAGTTTTTTTGGTTCGCCCTAATATATATACCTTACCTCGATGAACAGAAATTATAATTAATTACCTATAACTAATTAAACGAATAAAATAATAATTTTAATTGTCATCTGCCAGAAAAAATGAAAAGAAGGCATTTTGAAATTTCGGAAGTCTATCCACAGTTGTAAACATATTTATCTCTTACATTTTTGAAATATAGATTAATGATGAGACTTATGTTGTAATAAATAAAAATTACAACTGAATTATTATAAACCGAAATAACGTACTGTGTTTGGGAGGCTGTATCAATTTTATTCAAGACTCAATTAATTTAAGATCGTTTATGAATAATAACTTTTTATCATTTTTATACATGATAGAGCAATAGTAAAAATTAAGTCAAACTAATTAGTAAAATTATGAATTCAAAAATCCAAAAACTAGCGTTTTGATTGAATTTTATGAGTAATTATTAAAAATAACGACAAATTATTTATTTTTAATTCAATAATAAATATTAAAGTTGTTAATAGACAGTTTTTAGTGTTAAGATTAGTTTTTTTTAAATGTATATTGACATAGCTATAATAATTTAATATTTTTTTAAGTTTAAATATCACACAAGCATTTAGGTGCTTTCAATCGATGAGCAACTTCGCTAGCAAATTGTTCATTTGCTATTGCTTCTTCTAAAGATGGTATTTTGATCTTCAAACTGCATTGTCTTGTCAATGGGAAATGAGTGATTTTGTTAGTTTTAAATATTGACAGTAAATGGCTCCTCAATTTACTGTGGTCGTACTCAATCTCATTTGGTTTCAATCCATACATTAAAGTTATAGCAAAAGCTATCGCGTAAACGCCACAATCATTGTTATTAGGCTGCTGCTGAACTCGTAGAAATTTAACAGGATTTTTTTTAAATGAATAATGAGGAAATAATCGCTTTATGAATTCCTTTTCTGAACTACATTGTCCTGAATTTTTTGAGTCATAAATATAAATACTCTTGGAATCGTAATAACTACAAATCCAGTGTTGGCTCCTGTGCAGAATTTGAATGTGGCTTTTTAATGGGCAAATGGGTTTAATTAGCTCTGGAATTTGACTTTTATTTGTGAATTCAAGACAATAATATCGATTACTAACATCGCTTATCAAATTACCAATTGCTGCCATATGGTCAGTCGATAACCATTCTTCTCCACTAATTTCTAGTAGATCCTTGTCGGATAATAGACATTTAGTAATTTTCGTTAAAGACCGTGATTTTTTACTCTTAATTTTGTCTTTAATACCATTGTCATTATCACTACTATCAATAACCATATCATTGTCATTATCATTAATAATATCATTATCAATATCATTTTTATCCAGATTATCAGTATTTTGTTTTTTTTTTTTTTTTTTTTTACTAGAAAAGCTTTCATAACTAAGAATATTAATATCTATTGAAGTTCTTATTGGCATTGAACGATTATATCTGCTGTCAACAATTTCTGGAACTAGTTTTTTCTCATAAAAACTAGTTAGTTGCTTTTCCATATGTTTTAACCAAAATTCGGTACTTCTTTTGATTAGAATAATATTCATTCCTTTAGGAGTCCAAAAAACAAATAAACAAAACGATGTATTGGTGATCTCCATAGTCCCAATTATCCGGTGATATATTCCGTTATTAACATTAATTTTGTTAATACAATCTTTTTTATAATATTTGTCTAATTTTCCGACTTTCTTCAATATTGCTTCCTGTGGCGTATAATTTTTGGCAATCTGAGGACATTTGATAATAATTACTGTAATTTTTATTTTTAGTTGTAGTAATACCATCAGGCGCTGCAGCTAAATACGGAAGTTTTTCATGAATATATAATCCACATTCGGTAATAAAGTGATTATGATCTTTTTCAAGTGATCTTTTCGCTGCTACTTTACCTTTTTCCTCATATTTTCGGTTAGCCATTGTCCGTACAGATAGAAATAAAATTTTTCTTATCAATGGTTCACCACCAGTTGTTTGCTTCATTCGACATATTTCACCAAAATATCGATCCATTGAGAAATGTCTCTCGGTTACAAAAGTTTGTCGAATTGAGTCATCTTTACCTCTCGTACAAAATTCCAACTCTTGACGAGTTTTAAGTTTATCGAAAAGTAATTGATAATGTCGTTGAACTCTTTTCTTAAACTCTTCATTACTGACGTCAGGTTTCTGGCAGTGTTCACTGTAATCTTCTTTTCCATCAGCTTTTTTTTGTTTATGTTGTTTTTGGAATTGTGATGGAGTTTTTAATTCTTCACCTTCGTCATCAGTATAAATAATTTCTTCGTCCTTATAAATACCTTTCTCTTTATTTTCTCTCAATTTTTTCAAGTTTCTTTCATTTTTAGCAATTCGTCGATTTTCCATATTGATTGCTGTTTTGGGAGTTACTTTCCTTAAAAATTCATTTAATGCTGAAGCTGGTCTCTTCGTGTTAAACTGGACAACTGCTAAAGCTAATCGGCCTGGGTAAGCCCCCTTCTACGAAATCGATTTTCTTTTGCCGCTGATTTTCTTATTTATAATGGAATTTATTGATTCTACGCGATTTGAAGATTTATTATACAAAAAGCTTTCCGCTTAATAACTAGCTTCATCTAAAATATTCGTAATAGCATCAAATAAACCCAACTCTTTAAGATCATTAACGATATTTGTTCCTTTTTCTTTAAGCTCCCCAGTACAAAAATATTTAGCACACTTGGAATGGTCTCCGAATACATGATTAGCTACATTTTGAATGTCAGACTGTAAATTTGCTTCTTTCTCGTCGAAAGTACAATTTTCAGCCGCCCTATACTTAGCAGCTTCCATTATACCTGACACAATTCGAAGAATATTCTTAGTTATAATCTTTTTGTACTCTGTACCCTGCGCGCTTGTTTTTAGTTTTACAACTTTTAGTAATTTTTTAATCAAATTACGGCGTAAATGATCAACGCAATTGATTTTTTTTTACAAACACTGTAGGGTAAGGGTTTGCTTGTAGCACTTTCAAATATGTGCTGCTGTCGTTGTCCCCAATTAACTCAGTGTACAACAAATTATGATCTTTAATACTATTCTGGAATCCTTCCGTTATAATATCAGATTCCATGCTCGACGAACTTTTATCTTTATCCCAATTAGCGTAACATCGGTGTTTCTTAGGCTTCTTATTTTTTTTTTTGCAGCACGAACACATATTATGCAATATTTATTTCTATATCCATAGAATAAAACTTTTTGAGATTTCTGCCCTATACCTACAGCTGCACCTGTTTTCGATCGGCCTTGGGTCCCATAACATCGCATCGTCCAACTTCCATCAACCATCAAAGAACAAGTATAATGATCACCTTCTTTAGGATTAAATTCTTCTGCTATTTTTCGTTCTTCAGCACCAGCTTTATTTATCTCATTTTGAGCAATTTTAGCATAATTGTCATCCAAAGTAACACTAATTTTTTCATAAGTTTTGTCTGACATACATTTTATTCCTGAAAAAGCTGTGATTTCTTTCAATTCTATATAATTTAGTCCCGCAGATTTTACTCCAGCCACCATACAAGTATTTACGTCCAAAAATTTACTCTCTTTTGGCTCAGTGTGAGCTTTAAATGTTTTATTGCACATATTACATTTAAAAAAAAAAGTTTTTCTAAAGCCATATTTTTTTTGGCCAGTCAATTCCACATTGTCAGCTGAACAATTGAACGGTTTATGTACATCAGAGCTAAATATAGAGCGCATTTCATTGATAAAATATACATTCTGGATAATACAACGTTCACCAGGATCTACACATTCTTCTGAATTTGTAAAAGTAACTTCTTTTTCAACAATCAATTCCGGTAACTCTTCATTCTTTGGTTCTACATAATTTTCCTTACTGTCATTTTCTTTCGAACTTGTGACTTCAACAGCAATTTTGTCAATACTGTGTAGTTCTTTTGTATTCTGTGGGTCAGAGACGGGTGTATTTTCATTTTTCTCATTATAATTACCTTCATCAATAGTTTCAATTTCAGTGGACTCATCAACATGATCCAACTCATTAAAATTATTTTGAGGAAATGCATTTTCAACTGTCGAAGATTGTGTTACCTCCAATTGAAAAATTTGTTTACTATAACTATGTTCTTGTACTATTTTTAATCCCAAGATTTTACTTTTTTCCAAAATATCTGTATTACTACAGTCTGAAATTTGTTGTTCCTGATTATTTTTGTTATTGCTGTTGTCAATTGCAGCGTTGGCACATTCCGAAGCTGCAAATTTTTTTGACTTGTTAATTACAAACCGTGAGTTTGGGAATGTTAATCGATTTGAGCTTGTTTCCGCAAATATTATCCGCCTGTAAAAAAATAATATAAACTTTCATAAAGTATTTAATATATTTACGCTTTATATAATTATATTTTTTTAGGTCTAAACTTAAAAAGTTTAGAAAAAAAATTTTTAGATGCAATCAGATGTCGATAGATTTGTATAATTGTCAAACATGCATAAATTTATTTCACTGTTCATATACTTAAGATATAAAAGTTAATTAAATAAAAAAGTGAAAAAAAAATAATAAAAACAAGAACCACAAAGTCAATTGAAGCATTTTTTAATAAATTAAAAGTTACTTCTTTATGAACTTTTTTTTCCTACTATATCTCTTCGCTGATAAACGTAAATTTTTACGTGTAAGATTGAACGTCATTTTTTACAGAATGTTATTGCTCATGCCATTTTGGTCAGATTGACTAGTAAATATGATTCAAGCCTATAGATGGACGCTTTCATCTTTCCTTATTTTCGAAAGATATTCTCTCTTCCAATAAGTTCGATGGATATCCATCGAACTTGAATACTAGTAAAGCTAGAAGCTTGTGGTATCTGTTCTGATTGTAAAGGTGTTGATTAAGTGAAAGATAGTGAAAGAAAATTTGAATGAGAGCAAAGACAGACTTTGAAAAAATAAATGGGGTTGGTTAGCCAAGCTATCTAATTTTTTACTTGAATTTTTATTTCAGAATTAAAAATCACATCGCAATCTTCACTTTTATTTTTAATTGTTTGTTACAAAAGTAAAGGTTATACGCTGATTGTTTAACCGATAAATAATCAAATATTGACCAATTTAGAAAGGGTAAATAATAATAATAATTTTTATAGAGACGCTGCTGAGTGTTTGTGATAGAATTTGTCAAATATGCGCTAATTATCCCTTTCTCCGTCACGCTATAAGCGCGGTGCGGCGTTTTTATTAAAATTAAAATAATACTCTAATTTGCATCTCTTTCAGTTTCTAGGAGTTCTTTCTCCAAAACTTTTATAAGCGATTGCAAAAAAAAATTGAGTATTTGACATAGTTAAAATCTTTAAATTATTTTTTTTGAAACAATGCGCAAATACAACGATCAATCTCGGCAGTACGATTTGTTCACTTTCCATGAAAATCGATTTGTATTTCATAGGTTTTATATTATTAGAAATGTGGCAAACAACCATGATTTTTTTAATTGACAAATTTAAAACGATTTGAATTTTCTCTAAATTTTAAATTCTGAAAGACATGGAGGCATCACGTCGAGGAGTGCAATCAACAAAGAGTGGCAAAAACACTTGACTGATGGAGGATTGAACATTTGTTATTGTACACAGTAAAAAATTTTGCGTCATTGCGTCAAAAAATTTTGTGTTAAAAATTTTTATG